GCCTGGTGGCTCTGGCCCATGTGGCTCAGGTGTTTGGGCCTGGTCTCATGCAATCAAGAGTCGCCCATTCAATTCCAGGTCAGGGCACAGGCCCAGGGTTGTAGGCTGGATCCCCGGTAGGGGGTGTGCAGGAGGAGCTCATGCATATCTCTCTCTCTCTCTCTCTCTCTCTCTCTCTCTCTCTCTCTCCCTGTCCCTCCACCTTTCCCTCTCTCTATAGCCTGAGGTGAACAGTTTCAATGTGCCCCTCACAGATGCTCAGCAAATAATGCTTCTGAAGGGAGAGAGGAAATTGTGTCTTAGGCCAGAGAGAAGCCTCCGTGTCGTCTCCCAGAGCTGTCCTCCGCGGTCACTCTGCCTTCCCCGCATGCCCTCTGACCCCCGGCCTCCGCCCTTCCGCAGATGGAGGGAGAGGGCGCTGGAAGCGAGGGCCCATCCCCCAGGATCTGCAGTACAGAGGCCCCTAGGACACACCACGGTCCCTGCCTGTGGGGGTGCCGTGCACTTGACATTGGCACCCTCAGGTCTCCGAGTTCTGCACGGACCCGGGCAGTTCTTGCTGCTACTTGTGCTGGCCGCGCCATCTTTTATTCTCACCTGGTTCCCGCCGTGGGTCAGAGGGGAGCAGCTGGGGCCGGGAGGAGGCGGGAAGGGAAGGCACCCCCCTCCCAGGCCGGACAGGTCCCGCAGACTCCAGCGGACTCATTCCCGCTCTGGGTGGCGAGTCTAACACCCGCCCGTAGAGAAGCATTTCCCTCCAGCTAATCCCTTGTGAATATTAACAAAGAAATTCGCTTTGTAGCAGGTGAGAGGGAAGAAAGCGGAGAAGACGCATCCGCTGTGGGCAGGAGGCGTGGGGAGTGGCCAGGTTCCCGTGTCAGTGACTAGAGAGGCAGGAGGCATGGAGTTCCGGGCTCCGCGGCAGAGATAAGGGATGGTTTTTGCTCCCAGCTTGCAGGCCGCGAGGAGGAGAAGGAAATGCCGGATGATGGATGCGGGGGTGGGAAGCAAGCTCCCAGCAGGCATCAGGTGTGGGGTCCCCAGCGAAGAAATGGACGACTGGATAAATAAACACCCAACGGTGGGCGAGAGGATAACGGACGCTGGTCCTGTTGGTTTGAGGAATGGTGACCATTCCTCTCTTAACCCCACTGTCTGACGAGAAAAACGGACAAAGGTTGCATTTGCTTCGATGGTCACGCCATCTGTTGGCTTGGTCATGAACTGACGGGCACATTTGGGAATGCCCATTTTAAAGGACACGGCTCCAAAAATAACGTCCTCACTCAGGTTGGAGCCAGGTTATAGCCTGAAGGCTGCCGGGAGCAGCGGGGAGAAGGGAAATTATAGAGTGACTGTGCTCGTCACCTTCCTGGGGAAGGTGCAGCCGCCGCCATCAGCCAGGACTCTGATGTGGCATCGCCTGGTCTAACTTACCGAGTTAAATGAAGCACAGATGAGGGCGTGCGTGGCGAGGGGGAAGAGCACCCTGCCATCTTGCTTTCTAGCAGCCAAAATCCAACCAATTAGCACAGACCAGGGAAAAATCAGCTACGATATTATATTAGAGGAGAAGAAGTTAGAAGAGTGGTTTCTCCCCAAACTGGCCTTGCGCGAGGTAGTGACAACCCTGGAGGGAAGTGGCTGCTCTTCTCCAGCTCCTCCCTGGCATCCGAGCGCCCACCCTGCTCAGTGAATGTGGTCTGAGGGCGCCCCTCCCTGCCTGGGCCCAGAGCTGCGGGTCGCTCCCCTCCTCGTGCAGCTCAGCGGGAGTTTGGCGGGTGGATCGCTGCTCTCTGCAGATATTTGAAGACAAGAACCTGCACAGGAAACCCCCAAAGTCACCCCAAGCAGCTCCGATTCTCTGTGTCCCCACCTGGCGTTCCCTGGGCAGTGCCAGAGAGGGCAGTATCGCCTGGTGCTGGAACTGACCGAGCTAAGGCCCTGAGGATGGAGCATGTTCGGGAGCAGGGTTAGGTGAGCTGGGCATGGAACTGCCGGACCCCTGCCGTGTGCGGCGGGCAGGGGGTCTGACCTGGCCGGTCCCACTCTTCCCTCCCTTGCCCAGGCTTTCCTCACCAACAAAGGACGGCCATGGGGAGAGATGCTTCGAGCTCAGGCACGTGAGGTCTTGAAAGCCATGGTCTGCCTTTCTAAGTGAGTCATGGGACAAGGAATTGACTAAAGAAAGAAACCCGCCCGGCCAGCGTGGCTCCGTGGTTGAGCATTGACCTATGAACCAGGAGGCTGCTGTTTGATTCCCTGGTCAGCGCACGTGCCCGAAAGAAACCCTCCAGCCAGCCGCGCCCTCGCTGCTTCCTGCCTTTCCCTGGTGGTGCTCAGTGGCACCTGCTCGCGCCCACTCCTCTCCCAGCTCAGGCTCCTGGTGCGACCGCCTGCAGGCCTGGCGGCAGGTGCCATTGGGAACAGCCTCACTGTGCTCCTCCGTTTTATCAGTCTCGTTTCCAATGAGTCCTTTCGCCTCTAGTTACACCGTGAAGCCCACCCCACCCTCCGTGGAACCGGCCTCCTACCTAAATCCGCCTCCTGTTCTGTTTCTCACACACATTTCCCAGGAAACACCGAATCCTGCGAAAGCCTCTCTCTCTCTCTCTCTCTGGTACTTGGATGGAACGTGCCCGCTGCCCAGAAGCCGCGCTGTTTTCTGTCCATCACCTGCAGGGTCTCCACACCCAGATGGGCTAATATGGGTCTAAGCAGATAGACAGCTGTTAGCAAAGGAACAGCACGGACTGCATCTGGAATACTACTGACCCCGTGACTGACACTCCGCTGGGGCACGTGGCTACTGCTGTAATATCAGATTTAACAAACCCTTACAGAGAAGGAATGAGATGTATCCTACGCGCCTCTCCCTCCCTCCTTCCCTCCCTCCCTCCCTCCCTCCCTTCCTCTCTCCTCTCCCTATATATATCTCCATCTGTGTTTAGTTATGCATAGGATGCAGCAATACACCTTTTTTCTTCATATGAACTGTTTCCTCCTTGGGTCTGGTCAGTAATATTTAAAATATAGAAATCCCGTCCATTAAAACATCTGCCTCCAAACAGATATTTCTTCCCCTACAAAAAGACTTCAGAACTCTTTAGGGCCCAGTTTTGAAAAGCATCCCGTGGTAGCCGGTTTATCTGGGCGGTTGGTTTGAGGGGCATGAACAATAGCACGCTGCCACTAGCAAGAACTACGGGATACGTTATTGCAAGTGTTCTAAAAAATCAGAACAAAACTAATTTATTAGAGTCTTGTCTTCACTGTACACCACATGTTGGTGAGTGACACACCAAAGGTATTGTCTTTTTCTGTCAAAAGTGTCTACTAAAGATAAAAAGAAGAAGGTAACAAGTAACATGTGGTTTGTTACATTAAAAAAACCTGATATAGACGTGTTTCTATTGCCTGTTAGCTTGGCCTAAGCCTCTTTAACGATTGATTACAAAAAGAAACGTCCGTGTTCAAAGGCAAACATTCAAGTCAGTGGATACAGGTTACAGTGCAGTCAGCTAACACCATTCAAAGCAGGTAACAGTCTAGCCGTGGTCGCTTGAGTCGAAAGTCTGTGGACCAAGTGGCTGCCCAGGGTGCACGCTGCTCCTCAACCACGTGGCCGCTCTTGGGAGGACACGGTGCTTTCTGCCGATGGCTTCGGAAGACGGGGTCACGCTGCCGGCCACAGCACAGGGGGACCCCAGCCTGCCACTGATCATTGCATGGAGCATGGTCGTTAGAACAGCATCACTGAGTTTAGCAGGACAACTAAAACCAAAGAATAATCATAATAAAATCATAATCATAAGAATGGAAAGAATAAAAACCGAACACACTCCGGAAGCCCAGGCTCGCTGCGATACGCTCCCCTAAGAAAACAAACAAAAAACACAAAAAACTGAGATGGCCGCCCGGCCCCCCGCTCTGCCCCAAAGTCCAAAATACAAAAGTCTCCCACGTGTTACTTTGCAGAATAAAGCAAAAGCGTCTTTGTGCTCCTCGCCGCCAGAGCAGCGTCTCCCCGGCGTTACCACATGTAATAGCTCCTGGACGTGTCCACCTGGGCGGGCTTGGCCTCCGCGGCCCCGTCCTTGTCCTTCTCGGGGTCCCCTTCCCAGAGGTTGATGAGCGGGGGGTACAGCTCGTTGAGTGGGATCGACGAGGTCTTTTGCATGTACTTTTTCAACGAGTGGTGGTAGTTTTTCCTCTTGAACCTTTTGGCGACATACACGGCCGTGGACGCGAGGCTGACGACGGCGAACATGGAGCCCATGACGGCAGCCAGGGCCGTGCTGGCGTCCTGGTCGGAGAGGTCCAGGGCGAAGGCGGCCGTTTTGGTGGTGACGTTGACACAGGACCGCTGCGTCTGCTGGTGGACGTTGGACACGGTGAGGCACACCTCGTAGTCGGTGGACGGCTGCAGGTGCGTGAGGTTGTACTCGTGGACGTCCACAGGCACCCGGGCCGTGTAGGTGATGTGCGGGTTGTCAACCTTCATGGTGGCCGAGGACCACTTGAGGTTCGACGTCATGACGTTGGAGGTCACTCTCCAGGACACGAGGATGGAGTGGGACTCCGTCTGCTTCACGTACATTTTCAGCACCTGGGCCCCGTCCAGGAGGGTCCCATTGACCTTCACCGTGACCACGCGCGTGTCAGCGCCTTCCACATTCTGGGCCACGCAGGTGTACCTCCCGGAATCTTCCATGCGGACGTTGGGGATCTCCAAGGTGCCCTCACTACTCAGCGTGTACCTGTCGGAGAGCGTGTCCCCGGTTATCTTCCTCCCCAGGGGCGTGACCCAGTAGATCTCGGGCTCCGGCTCCGCCAAGGCCCGGCAGTCCAGGAGCACTGTGGCGCCGAACTCCGCGCTCAGGTGGCCGGGGAAGGCGTCGTGGGCGATCATGGGGAGGCAGCGCTCGCCCACGTCCCGGGCCAGCGCGTCCTTCACCGGCTGCCCCCGCAGCTCGGGCGGCGCGGCGCAGAGCATGGACAGCGGCTCCATGAAGCGGATGCTGGTCGTGTTGGCGGCCACCCAGCGGAGGACGCAGTCGCACCGCAGCGGGTTGCTGTGGATGCCGATCTCACGCAGGTTGGGGAGCGACGCCACGGTGGCCCGGTACACGGCGTGGAGGGCGTTGTTGTTCAGCATGAGGCTCTCCAGCGCGGGCATGCCGCGGAAGGCCCGGCGGTGGACGTAGGACAGCTTGGGGTTGTTGGTGGCCTCCAGCTTGGTGAGCTCGGGCAGGTTGTCGAGGGCGTAGCGGTCCACGGACACCAGCTCCCCCATGTTGTTGAGCCCCAGCTCCTTCAGCCGGAGCATGTTCTGGAAGTCCCCCTCCTGGATTTTGTGGATGGGGTTCTTGTTGAGGTCGAGGAACTTCAAATTGGGGACTTTCTGCAGGGCCAGCTGGGGGACCTTGACCAGCCTGTTGTCGTAGAAGGACAGGCTCTCCAGGCTGTCCAGGCCCACCAGCGCGTTCCCGGGCACGTCGGTGAGGCACATGCCCGCCAGCACCAAGCTCCGCAGGTTTGCGAGGGGCCGGAAGTTCATGTCCAGGATGCCGACCACGGGGTTCTCGCCGATCATGAGGATCTCCAGGTTGGGCGTGGCCTCGAACCAGCGGCTGTCGATCACCCTGAGCCGGTTGGAGTTGAGGTGCAGCCGCAGCAGGTTGCGCAGGCCGGCGAAGGCGCGCGCCGAGATGGCGCGGATCTGGTTGTGGTTGATGTAGAGCTCCTGCAGGCTGCCCAGGTCCTGCAGGCAGCGGTCGGGCAGCTCGGCGATCTGGTTCTCCTCCAGGTGCAGCGTGGTGAGCCGGCTCAGGTTGGCCAGCCCCACCTCGCGGATGCTGCTGAAGTTGTTCTGCGAGACGTCAAGCTCCGTCAGGTTGCAGAGCTGCTGCAGCTCGTCGGCTGTGGCCGCGATGCTGTTGCTCTGCAGCAGCAGCACCTGCGTGTCGCTGGACAGGTTGCCGGGGATGCGGGTGAGGCGCAGGTCGTTGCAGTCCACAGTGGTGGCCTCACGGTAGGTGGACTGTGGGGTGAACCAGGGCCGGACCTCGCACACGCACAGCTGCGGGCACTCGCCACTCTGCAGGGAGGAC